TTTTCGTGCGTATTTTGTTTATTTTGGCTCTTATAACTTCCGAACTCTAGACTTATAAGAAAATAAATTTCAGCATACCAATAAATATAAAAACATTAACTACAATATCGTTTATTTTTTCATATTATGACGTTAATAAAAATAAAATTGTTCTAAATTTACGGGAAATGAAAACAAAAGTGCGGAAGTGAAACACGACCCTAAATACAAACGGTACTGTTGTTGATCGATGGGGCCTTGGGGAAAAGGTAGTCCATGGCCGACCTCACGGTTTAAAATCTCGGTGTTTCATAGATATACATAATGGATCCATCGTCAATCATTTTCGTATAATTTTGACGGTTTGGCTCCATATTGTGCTATAACTTAATTTATACCGTGGTTCTGACAGATTTTTTTTTAACAGGATATAATGCATATTCCGCTCCCGTTTTAGTGGAAAAAAACAGCGTCGTGGTGATGCACGCCCTGGATCGAATCGTCGAGACGTTGAGCAGTAGCCATACGGATAGAGGACTGTTTTTCGCTTGGAGTCCTGACGGAAAACGTATAGGTATATTATAATATTTAAGTATATTGTGTTGATCACATCATCACATTATTACGTTCACTGTCCCCACTTTAAATCAAATTAAAGATCAACAGCTATAACAATCCATGTGTGGTTCACTTTAACAATTTATTTCACAGTAAAATATGCATTTTTGTGCGTACAATTATGTAGGTATATATACATATATATTATGATACACAAATATGGATTTAGTGGACTACAGTGGTGGACCTAGGATTTTGTTTTTTTGGGGGGTGGGGAATATTTTTTTACATCAGTACAAGATAAGACGTTACATTGTAGCAGCTTGCACGGTCGACTTACGTATAACTTATAAGTATAAAGTATAATTATAATTAAATATTAAGTATCAAAAAAAAATCAGAAACTTGAATTTTTCGTGAATCCTGATTATAAGTTTTACGTCACAGTTATATTCTTACACATCTTATGGGATAAGAGGAGCCCATAGGCCCTTCTGCATGCCCCCCTTAAATTCGTCACTGGTGGACTAAGGCAGCATATAGTATAATATTTTCTTATGTTCTAACTTTTGTTTTGTATCTGAAACAATATAATATGAACAATATACACCCCACACAATATGGTCGTCGAACTGTGAACATACCATTATGCTATAATAATATTATATACCTAGGTACAATGCGGTGTTATACGCGTCCTCGATTTTTTTTTCCTTTATTTTGTTAGTTTATATTTTATCTAAAATCGTGCTCATTCTCGTTTTGATTTATAGCTTTGACGAGTTCCGACGAATCATTGAAGATATGGAACTTTTGGCCGACCAGTAACATCCAAAAAAAATCCAATAATTGCCCTCCACACGCTCACACGAATGCGACTTCCGCGGTTACTTCAGCTCATTTTACGGAAGATGAAGACTTAAGCAACAGCAATTACAGACTTATACACAATCGGAGCTCTCAAAATAGCCAATCAATGATGTCTGAATTATCGTTGGATGCTGCTCGCATAATAAAATAATCGCCGATAAGACGTGCGTTATGTTAAATAATTTACGTCTCGTGGGACGCGACGTGTGTGATAATAATAATTTAGCGTTTATAGAAGTTTTTAAGAGTCAATTAATCGAGAAAAAACTTATAAGAGCCACAAACTAAAAGATTACTATTAAATCTGGTTCAAGGTTAAATGGC